ACCAGTGGATCGAAAGTTATTCACTGTTAAATAATTTTGGGATTTTCAATAGTAAATTCCAAAAATCCGCCGATATGAATAATAGAGTAATCATATATAGAGAGAAACAGGATTGCATAATGTATCATGCGACAAACGTTGCATTATGTAATGCAAAGGCAAAAAAAACTTGCTTTCGTATTCTTATAATGTGATTGATGATGCGAATTTATAAAAATGAGGTATCTACCCTCAATTTTTAATAAAACTTGATTTGTCTACCTATTTTTTTGATTAGTTCTTCTATTTATATAACCACCTTCCTGTTGTTTCCGTAGTAAAGGTCAACCGTTTTTTTTTTTCACTTGCTAGTTTCGGTTTAATTCACCTTTTTTTTCCTTATAAAGAGTAAAAAAAAATATAAAAAATAAAAATAAAATAAAATAAAATAGTGCGTAAAGCTTTAAACCTTGACTGGTCGTTTTTTCATTACAAACACGTTTTACATTCTACTTGTTCCTCCCTAACTTCACCTTTGCCCCTATATAAATAAACTACTCTATATAATATGGGAGGAATGAGAGGAATCATTCAAATACAAGCCGGTCAATGCGGTAACCAAATAGGTGCCAAATTTTGGGAAGTAATTTCAGATGAACATGGTATTGACTGCACTGGCGCTTATGTCGGAGATTCTGATCTCCAGCTAGAAAGAGTACACGTTTATTATAATGAAGCCAACGGTCAGAAATATGTTCCACGCTCTGTCCTTGTTGACCTTGAACCTGGTACTATGGACTCTGTTCGCGCTGGTCCTTTCGGTCAACTTTTCCGTCCAGACAACTTCATCTTTGGTCAAAATGGCGCTGGTAACAACTGGGCTAAGGGTCACTACACTGAGGGCGCCGAACTTGTTGACTCCGTTTTAGAAATCGTTCGTAAAGAAGCTGAATCATGTGAATGTTTACAAGGTTTCCAAGTAACTCACTCTCTTGGCGGTGGTACTGGTGCTGGTATGGGTACTCTACTCATCTCTAAAATCCGCGAAGAATACCCTGACCGTATGATGTGCACGTTTTCTGTCGTGCCTTCACCCAAGGTTTGTATAAATTTTGTTATTATTAAATAAACTAAAGAAAATGGTCATTGTCATATTTCATTGCGTCGCATAAGATTATTGATCGTATTCTTTGATTCGTTTATGTGAACGGATTTCCTAATGTTTTAATGATACTTAATAATTAAAATAATGTATTAAATTCGTGTTTAATTAGGTTTCGGATACTGTTGTTGAACCATATAATGCTACACTTTCTGTACATCAATTGGTTGAAAATTCGGATGAATATTCTGTATTGACAATGAAGCTTTATATGATATTTGCTTCCGCACGTTGAAATTGAATACACCTACATACGGTGACCTTAATCATTTAGTATCAGCTGTCATGAGCGGTATCACCACATGTCTACGTTTCCCTGGTCAATTAAATGCTGACTTGAGGAAATTAGCTGTCAATATGGGTAAATATCTTTTAATTTATTGCAGAATCATAATTATTATATTTACACGTATTTATATATCATTCTTATTATTTTTATTTATTTATTTTTAGTTCCTTTCCCACGTCTTCACTTTTTCATGGTCGGATTTGCTTCATTAACTTCTCGTGGTTCTGAAGGTTATCGCGCCTTGACTGTCCCCGAATTGACTCAACAAATTTTTGATGCCAAGAACATGATGGCGGCTTCGGATCCCAGACACGGTCGTTATTTGACTGTTTCTGCCATTTTCCGAGGTCGATGCTCAATGAAGGAAGTTGAAGATCAAATGTTGGCTGTCCAAACAAAGAACAGCTCATACTTTGTTGAATGGATTCCTAATAATGTTAAGAGTAAGTAAAATAAGTTTGATTCTAATATTTATATACTTTTAAATAATATTAACAATATGCAATTTTTACATAATTCTCTAGCTGCCGTGTGTGATATTCCACCACGAGGTCTTAAAATGTCTGTTACTTTTATTGGTAACTCTACTTCTATTCAAGAATTATTCAAACGTATCAACGACCAATTCACCGCTATGTTTCGACGTAAAGCTTTCTTACATTGGTATACTGGTGAGGGTATGGATGAAATGGAATTCACAGAAGCAGAATCTAATATGAACGATCTGGTATCCGAGTATGTATAAAACATTAAATTTTTGGTTGATATATATTAGCATCGTAATTTATCACTAATATTACAATTTATTACTACTTCAGGTATCAACAATACCAGGAAGCTTCTACTGAAGAAGAAGAAGCTGAAGAATATGAAGAAGAAGCCGATCAAGAAGCAGACATCTAAAGCCACACATTTTAACACATAATATTCATTACATTTCACACATCCTTCATCATATATCTACACATATATATTACATTTTTATGATCTATTTTCTTTATATAAACACAATTTTCTATTTTATCTAAAAAAAAATATACTTTGACGTCTTTCATAATCTTGTTTCTGAATAAATGCCGATTTTCACGAGTAGAATTAATCAAATGTATATTATACAATTACTTTAAAATTTTTTAATTTTTTGGTTCTCATAACCCGACAGGGCAATTTTTACTAATTTTAGACCAACAGCAAAAGGGCAAAATTTTAGATTTTATAATAAAAATTTTATTTTTAAGACCCAATTCTTTTTTTAAATATATTGGCAAAAAGTGTATAAATTTGAAATTTTTTTGCTATTACTACAGTACTATAGTCATGTGATGATCTTCGATTGTGATTTTCCTAGCGTCGCGTAATGCTCAAAATTTTCTTTGCGTGTAGGGGGAGTTGTGCGTACACGTAATAATCAATGCATTTCTTATTGTTTATTAAATTTGCGACAAGCTTTAGGATCTTTATGAAAGAATTACACTGTATGGTAAAATTTCGCAAGGAAAAATTTTTGTTAGAGCGAAAAGTCGGTTCGTCATGTAAATTTTTGAGTTATGACCGATTTTAAAAACGGCCAATTTTTTTACATTACGTATATTGATCATTGGTTAACCATCACATGTACGGATAAGTTCTCCTGCATCCTGATACTGCTGTACCATATTATTCTATGGATATTTCCACACCCCTATTTTTGTTATTTCCACCCACCCTGTAGATCACTCTTTTTTAAAACTTTGATTGAAGATATCTTGACACAATGAAATTCGATAAACTTATTTTGTTTGAATTCTGTGGACCTATAGATTTAAATAAAAAAAAGTTCATCGAATTTCATCAGGTAGTTGTCAAGATATCTTCAAAGTTATGATAAAATATTGTCGCCACTTATATTTTGATTGACGTCCAAATTTTTTTTAAAAACTTTGACATCTCGAATGAAATTCGATGAACTTTTTTTTGTTAGAATTCTGTTAATTCATAGAGTACAAATAAAAATTTGATTTGTGGCTATAAAGATATCTTCAATCAAAAATTTTAAAAAATTTCAAACGTCTCAAAACATAACTCGCGGCAAAATTTTCCATAATAATAACTTTGATCGAAGGTATCTCGACAACTACCTGATGAAATTGGATAAAAATTTTTTTGTTTAAATTCTATAGATATACAGAATTCAAGCAAAAAAAGTTCATCGAATTTCATTGCGTAGTTGTCGAGATATCTTCGATCAAAGTTTGAAAAAAATCTCAACCGTTTATTAAAACATAAGCTGCGGCAAAATTTTCTATAACTATCGATATCTTGGCAACTACCTGATGAAATTTGATGAAGTTTCTTTTGTTTTAATTCTATGTATTCTATGTATCCAAAGAATTCAAATAAAAAAAGTTTATCGAATTTCATCAGGTAGTTGTCGAGATATTTTTGATCAAAGTTTTAAAAAAGAGTGATCTACAATGACAAAAATAGGGTGTGGTTCCCTTATTCTATCGTTATTTTATATATTTCTTATTTTGATATATCATAGTTTATAGCATAGTTCGGTGATTTTGATTTTATTCTCAGCAAGTGATTGAAACCTTCAGCGAATGATTGAAACCCCATACAAATCGATATCTTAATTATGTTAATAAAGAGAAATCTTATAACCTGTAATTATGTGTGTTGGTTTGTCGATTTAAACCAGTTGACCTCAATCAGCATCTGTTCGTTATCGAAGAAAATTGGTTCAAGACCCTATAAAGCTCTCCCCCGATCGTAATACCAGATAGATCTTACCTGTAATTTCATAAGGCATTTATGCATTATCACAAATTTTCCTTTTTTATATTTATTTATGTTGTGCCCAAATGCAAATCTGCCCAAATGACAATTGTGACGGCCCAGATATTGGTATAGTAGTTTTGGCCCAACCAAAAATTAGATAATAAAAAACGAAACAGTGTTCTTATCACATGACATAAGCTAGTTCAGAAATCTTACCCAGGATCGCCAACAAAATTTCACTATCACGCGACCATGCATATTATAATAGCCAATTACAGTAGAATACAGTATATCAGATATCGCATCTTAATAGCGATAATAATACCGTAGTGTAATAATAAAAGGTTTTGAAATCAATTTTCTGTTGGATTAGATATTAAGTACTAGAAATTAAAAGCTTAAGGTGACAGTCAAGTGAATCGGCATAATAAAGAAATTAACTGACGTTTAGAGTTGTACCCGGGTAGATATTTTTATTAAATATTTGGGCAGAGATTTCTTGACGGGTACAATCTCTACTGACGATATAATAATGGTCTTGATATAGCTAAGCTATATAAAACTAGTCTACATGCTGTAAATCCGTTTAAAGTATGAATTATTACATATACTAATATAAAATTTTTATTAAAGATTCTTTATACTAGAACGTATACATGGGTGCCTAAATTATTTTTATTTTTAGCAAATATTTCGGTATTGCAAAATTTTTTATATGAAACCCTTCGAAATAACTATATTATATGATGTGGTTTGACGAAAAGAGTTCAAAAAATTTTGGCAATAATTTCAGCAAATATGAAAATTAATTTCGGCACTATATAAGAATAATTTCGGCTGGTAATTACTTTTTTATTACAGCTGTTTTAATTATTCCTGGGACACCTGTAAAAAAACTTGCCGAAAAAATTTTCGACCGGGAATTTTTTCGGCATAATAAATATTGATAGCATAGCGGGCTTTATTATGATTGGTTGATTTTTGAAGATCATCTCGTCATATTAAAGTCTTATTAAAGTAACGATTTGCTGTCACAAGAATGGATCGGGGCCACGAATACGAATCGGGTGAAGGTAAGACAAAAAAAATTCGAAAGTTCAACCTTTATTTTATATACTGTCAAAGTAATTCGGTAAACCGCGAGGTAATTCGGAAGTTAGATGAGAGGTATGTTTGGGCGTTTCATTTTGGCAAATAGACGTAAATATAAAATTTGCAATCTATTAAATTTGATAAATAACAATATTTTCAAAAGGTTTACATCGCTAATCTATTTT